TGTTGATTTGCATCATGATAATGCGAGCAAAAATATTAAACATCGCAACTGTTTGTTTTTCTAGTGAAGGAAACTGTTTCGGCGAGTGGACAGATTGTGTGAACATTCCAGGAAAATAAAAACTTTATAAAAAACGTTGATATTTTAAGAATTGCATGTTCTTGGGTTTCACGTTGTTAATGTAAAATTTTATGTTGACTTATTTCTGTTTACATGTTCTTCTTTCCATGTTACAAATGCATATTGCCGTATACTCGCCCATATGGTGTAGTACGGTGTCTAGGGTATATAAACAAAGCAAACATACATATGTTATAATAAAGCAGTTTGACTCTCCTTGGCTAATCATCCGTATATGGAATGAAATATTGACATTGTTATAACTGATTAATAAACATAACGCGCTCAGCACAACTCACATTAAAGACAAAACTCCTTAAGAACCACTCACAATATGATATAAATCACTGTATAGACATAACTCACTCAGCACCGTCCCAAATTTAAACATAACTCACAGCACCACTCTGACTCGTTACTACTCGCAATATATACATAACTCACCCAGCACCACTCGCAAGAAAAACATTATTCACTCACTACCACTCACAATATAAACATTACTCACTCAGCACCACTCATAATATAGACATAACACACTCAGCAGACAACACTCACTCAGCACCACTCACAATATACAGTAACACTCACGATACAGACATAACTCACTTAGTACCACTCACAACAGTCAGGTCAACTCACAATATAAACATGTAACTCACTCAGCACCACTGACAATAGCAACTTAGCCCTCTAATAAGCAACACTCACAATAGGCACTTAACTCATTGATGACATCCCACGATCTCACGTCGTCAACCCTTCATTACTTACTTATCACTAGTCTTCAGATGAGCACTCACTTAACAATACTTTCTTCTTTATGAGAATAAGCATTATATAGTGAGCGATCAGTTCTCACCCCGTGCAATAGCTTACAGACCACTACTCACTATGTGAATATTTCTCACTCTATGATCATTAATAACTGAACAGTACTCATTAAGCACTACTCGCCCATGAAAAAACTTACCGACCACTACTCACTATTTTCTTCTTGGACATTACACACCGAACACTCTTATATATGTTCTGTTAAAGAAACTCGCCATTACCGAGTAAATTTCATTTTGATGCGTTAAAGTAGATGTCAAAATGACTCGAATCTTTATTAATATCTTGATGTCGTTAGAAATAAGTAAAGCTGACAGGTCGGCATTTGCACCAGTGTGGATTGTGACAGTAGGGCCCTGACTTGAGAACGTTCATCTTCTTGTACATCAGAGAATATATATATATATATATATAAGATCGTTGACGTCAAACCACTTGCCCCTCACCGCTGTGGTTTCAAATATCGACAAGGACTTTGGATTATTTCATATCTCGGTGGTTCTACTCAAGTTCCCGTTCGTGCAGATAAAATAATGCACGGAAGGAGGCCAGAGGTCTCCAGTGAATATTTGTAAAATTACACGGGAATTTTGCTTTATACAAGTTGAAGCTGACATCGTAAAAATAGGGTGTTTTATAAACTGGTCATGGTTCTATTAAAGTATATGTCATGTTACATAGTTTGTCCTGCACTCATTGTAATATACAAAATACTTATTACTGGTGTATATTTGTGAAATTATTTGTAAATGAAACTTGTTTGAATGAAATTTAATATTTAAAAAGAGTGTTTGTCAAACAAATAAAACTGTGTTTGTTAGAGAACCCAATCCTAATTGACTCGATTATAAACGTGACCCGGCACGGGGACAGTACGGGGCACAGCAAGGTCAACGAGCCATGTTTGTTTCCCTTGCCATATTCTTACTGGTAAATATAATGAATTCCATGGATGATCCATGTATTCTAACTGAATATATGGCAGCAACTATGAATTTTAATCTCTAGATAGTATTGATAAATTAAGATAATTCGACAGCTGAGTTGATAGTCAATAAATAAACGCAAGATTTGCGAGATTACATTATCATTATGAGAGCCTAAATTATCCTGGAAGGATTGGTTGTTTTGATTGTAACTTGAGCTGGAAATAAATATAAAAGATATCACAGAAGCTTATTGAAACAGCGTGATAGTTTGACATCAACAACGTGATAATTTGACATCATCTATATTTCAATCTTATTAAATAAACAAATAAAAATTTCCCTATTGATTGTCAACTGATTACGCCCGAAAGAGATATAATAATAACAAGAACGGTAACGTTTACAAGATAGAACGCTGCACGTGGTTGAAGTTATTTCTGTTATCATGTCTGGAGTGTCTGTTTTATGTTTCATTACTATAAGTGAACAGAAACTGAACTGAGTCACCTCGCTTTTTATGTCTGCCAACATTTAAGCTGTCTCTGACATTGTTGTCTGCTGTCTTGCACCATGTAAACTGTCTCTGACGTTGTCGTCTGTTGTCCTGCACCATGTAAACCGTCTCTGACATTGTCGCATGCTGTCCGCAAACATGTTAACCGTCTCTAACGTCGTCAGCTGTCCCGCGCCATGTAAACAGTCTCCGACATTTTCCGCCTCGAACATTGTCGTCTGTTGTCTTACAACATGTACACTGTCTCTGACGTTGTTGCCTGCTGTCCTGCAACCTGTACACTGTCTACGACATTGTCGTCTGCTGTCTAACAACATGTAAACTGCCTCTGACGTTGTTGCCTGCTGCCCTGCAACCTGTACACTGTCTACGACATTGTTGTCTGCTGTCATACAACATGTTAACCGTCTCTGACATTTGTCGTCTGCTGTCTTGCAACATGTACACTGTCTCTGACATTGTTGTCTGCTGTCTTGCAACATGTAAACTGTCTCTGACGTTGTCGTCTGCTGTCTTGCAACATGTACACTGTCTCTGACATTGTTGTCTGCTGTCTAGCAACATGTACACTGTCTCTGACATTGTCGTCTGCTGTCCTGCAACATGTAAACTGTCTCTGACGTTGTTGTCTGCTGTCTTGCAACATGTAAACTGTCTCTGACGTTGTTGTCTGCTGTCTAGCAACATGTAAACTGTCTCTGACGTTGTTGCCTGCTGTCCTGCAACCTGTACACTGTCTACGACATTGTTGTATGCTGTCATACAACATGTTAACCGTCTCTGACATTTGTCGTCTGCTGTCTAGCACCATGTACACTGTCTCTGACGTTGTTGCCTGCTGTCCTGCAACCTGTACACTGTATACGACATTGTTGTCTGCTGTCATACAACATGTTAACCGTCTCTGACATTTGTCGTCTGCTGTCTAGCACCATGTACACTGTCTCTGACGTTGTTGCCTGCTGTCCTGCAACCTGTACACTGTCTACGACATTGTTGTCTGCTGTCATACAACATGTTAACCGTCTCTGACATTTGTCGTCTGCGGTCTAGCACCATGTACACTGTCTCTGACGTTGTTGCCTGCTGTCCTGCAACCTGTACACTGTCTACGACATTGTCGTCTGCTGTCATACAACATGTTAACCGTCTCTGACATTGTTGTCTGCTGTCTTGCAACATGTAAACTGTCTCTGACATTGTTGTCTGCTGTCATACAACATGTTAACCGTCTCTGACATTGTCGTCTGCTGTCTAACACCATGTACACTGTCTCTGACATTGTTGTCTGCTGTCTTGCAACATGTAAACTGTCTCTGACGTTGTCGTCTGCTGTCTTGCAACATGTACACTGTCTCTGACATTGTCGTCTGCTGTCTTGCAACATGTACACTTTCTCTGACATTGTCGTCTGCTGTCTTGCAACATGTACACTGTCTCTGACATTGTCGTCTGCTGTCTTGCAACATGTAAACTGTCTCTGACGTTGTTGTCTGTTGTCTTACGCCATGTACACTGTCTCTGACGTTGTTGTCTGCTGTCCTGCAACATGTACACTGTCTCCGACATTGTTGTCTGTTGTCTCGCCACATGTACACTGTCTCTGACATTGTTGTCTGCTGTCTTGTCACATGTACACTGTCTCTGACGTTGTTGTCTGCTGTCTTGCAACATGTACACTGTCTCTGACGTTGTTGTCTGCTGTCTAGCAACATGTACACTGTCTCTGACATTGTCGTCTGCTGTCTAGCAACATGTTAACCGTCTCTGGCATTGTCGTCTGCTGTCATACACCATGTACACTGTCTCTGACGTTGTCGTCTGCTGTCCTGCAACTTGTACACTGTTTCTTTCATTGTTGTCTGCTGTCCTGTACCATGTAAACAGTCCCCATTATTGTCGTCTGCTGTCTTGCACCATGTACAGTGTCTTTGAAATTGTTGTCTGTTGTCCACAAACATGTTTACTGTCTGTATCATGAAATTGTCGCCTGCTGTCTGCAAAAATCTACACTTTCTATAACCAGAAGTCTGTCAATAAACTAGAATGCGCACTTCAGTTGTCAGCATGTCTGTACATGAGGTCATTTTTACTCAGTCATGTCCTCCAAAAGTCCCGTGCATACATTTTGTTACCTGGTATTACTTCCGTTTTAAATTTATCCTACTGAAAAATATAGTTCTCTATTCTTGGCAATATCTACACTGTTACGACCATGCCAAATTTCTAACATAGGACACTAGCTGATTGCGAAGCATTATTTCTATATTGTACAGTCGAAATATTTGTATATATTTTCGGTTTTAAACATTCCGTGGATTCGGATAAAGACTATAATATTTGACATGATCTGCTGGTTTAAGAATTGGTAAGTTTTGACGGTATATCAATAAAAAAGATCACCATCCTTTTCTTCTAGCTTAAACATTAATTAAAATACCACTGGTTTCTGTCTGTTAATAACTCATCACACGCACAGTTTGCGGAGAAGAACCACCTCTAAACCTCAAAAAATGTTTACAAAATTCTCAGAAAATAACTGCAAGGTGTGGAGGTAGGTATTCCGTCGATCATATAAAGCAATTAAAAACATTAACCATGTATATTTTTAGACCCATAAAAGGGGTGTAATTTGTATCTGGTTTGTGTCATTAGATATGCGACATGATAACAATAGATGATAAACATTGTATAATAAAATATTTCTATAAATAAACAATTATCACAATTTTTGACAACAGATAAATCGGCTATAAATTTGAATATAAACATAAATACTTTTGTATTAGCCCAACGTATTTTGTAGCGGTTTTATTCGATGTGTAGTTCTTACAAAAACTAACATTGCCGCAAAAATGCCCGTTCAGAGCAAACGTTGTGATAAAAAACAGAGGCATTTCGTCGATAAGTATATTCGAGTGCCCATGCAAATCTACTAAACGAACTCGGCCTGACACATCAGAGTTTAGAACGCCATCTATTTTCCCCATATTTGAAAAACTCAAAACATACTGCGATTTCCCCGGTATTTGCACCGGAGCCGGAAACCTGTTATATTTGGATGCCTCTTCTTTTATCCATTCATACACTTCCGGTGAGTCAACGTTTTTATCAAGACATTCGCCAAATTGCCGCGCTATTTTCCAAAACGTTTCCGTCGTTAGTTTCGAATTTTCAAGCCGTAACTGAGCTAACAGAGGAACATGTAATGCTGCGACCCCTGGGTAATGCGGCGTGCCGTCATTCGGAAGAAGAAAATCGCCAACTCGTCTAAAGTCGGCCATAAATTCGATTGGAACTGAATAGTTATTGCACATTTTCCCCATATTTTCTTGAAATACCAGTTCTAACAAGGCAAGGACACTAGCAGCAATAATTGATCCTTTTGGAGTGCAATTGTTTGACTTGACCATTTGAACAAATGTCCGTGTTTTCGTTTTGCTGAACTTAAAGACTACGCAATCGTTTCTTAGTTTCGTATTTTCATTGTCTGTTGGAATATCTATTTCCTCGTGGAATGTTCGATTGTAAGCATCTAAGACTGTGCTGTCGTTAGAGTCATGGCAAAAAGTAAGAGCATGTTCTTGAAATTCTTTCTTTCTATCAACCTTTTCATCACAATTGAATGTGAATATATTTTCGAATGGTGGTAGAAGTGGTAATTCTTTTACACCTCCTATGCTTTTATTCATTATTACAGCATCTAAGAAATTGATGAATTCTTGAAACATCCACAGTGAGTATCCGCCATCCATTATGGAATGATGCATTATAAATAGAAATGTTGCTTGATAATCAAATTGCTCTTTAAAACATGTCAATTCACCTTTCGATTCTGTCGTCTGCTCATTTTCATTTCTGGGTGTAATTTCTTTCTTCTCTGCAATCGATGACGAATTTAACAGACGACATCTAATTAATGATTGACTTTTAAAACATGAGTGATTGTCGAGCTCCTCTAACATATATTGCAACCAGTCCGTACGGTCATGCACTTCGAAATCGAAGGCAGCTTTTTCATTTTCCACAAAGTCCATGTGACCGTCGTCATAGCAACGGCTTTTTTGAATAGACATTCGGAACAAGGGATGCCGTTTTTGTAAGAGTTCTAATGCCTTATTCACAGCTACCGCTCTGACTGGGTAAATAGTTTCAATTTTGGTCATTAAACATATTATATCTGTTCCCTGAGACGAGTAAATATTGTACATTTGTTCTATCCCTCCTAAAGGCCTCCGTAGAATTTCACATCTCGTGCGATTATAATCTCGCGAGACCGGAATATGTAAAGAGATGTTCTGTGCTCCAGACTTGTATGTTCCTTCCCCAGGATTGTCTACTGAATGTTCTTCTTGTACATTGATAACAGAAGCTTGCTGAGAAATGGAACGAGGAGTGTAGTGCCTATATTGAGTACGCTGCACGTGACCACCACTTCCGTTTGCATTCATTTGTATTCTCTCGCTGTGCACATGAGCAACATTGCTTGATTTCGTTTTGGAGTCCATTACTACGTGAACTGTCTTCCTAAATGGTACCGGGTGACCTCGGATGTATTGACAGAGTCCTGTCTGCCTTCCTTCTAAAGCTATCTTGATGCCATTTCCGAAGATCGTACCATCTTGCAGTCTATAACAAAAATGAAAACGTGTTAATATAAATGTAACAAAAAGACCGAAAATGGCACTCAGACTCAGTTCAACTGGGCAGGCGATATTTTGCTGGGTTTGATAACCTTTAAGGTTCCTTAAAAATCTGGAAACAAAGTGATCCCTTGGAAGCGTTAATCACAACAAAATTACATGAAAATTTTGGACTCGGTTTGATTGAGTCTGTACATGAGGGATAATGAATAAGTGCAACATCCCTCACGCCCCCTAGCACCGGCTTGAGCGGTACTCAATTCTCAACACTGAATAGTGCTGGCATCAATGATCCCGAAGGACCAGAAACATATATTAAGGTTCCGGGTTTTTTTACAAACCAAGACAAGAACAGACCATTTTTTAAAGGGACTCGACTGAGGTTTTTGGATATGACAGGACTGACAGGAAGTTACTTTTTCAAAATTACTAGTCCATTTGATGGAGGTCTAGACCTATAACTTGAGTGCAAAATTTCAGATTATCGCTGAAATCGGGCTAAAAATAGCAAATAAAATACAATTTTCAATGAATTTCTGAGTAGTTTATAAATTATCTTTTCCATATCTTTTCATTGCAAGTGCCCCAGCTAATCTGTGTAAAAATGTTCAAAATTATGTTTTAAGGCTTGTAGACTACAAATCTAAATCTCTTCACTTCTATATCATAATTACATGTACGCAATAGAAATAAAACATTGTTCCTCCGAAAATTTATATGACAAAGCCAATAAAAAGGTAAACCAAGGAAGGATAAAATCGGCATTACAATTTTAATGTTGTACTTTTACATGTATTTATGCTTGGTTTCGTCCCTTAACGTCATCGCAACTTATAGGCCCTTTCCGTCAGTCTTCGGATAAGGTTATTATAGATAATAGCCGAGGGCGTTCCGATTGACTCAAGGACTAAAGAAAATCGGAGGTGTCCTGAATTATTATTGTCCTATCAGAACAACGCCATTTCGAATAGAAATCCAAACGTTATTTTCGAATGCAAATATAGAGTAAAAAAAAGATGTTTAAAAAGTTGTCTCTGATTGCACGGAGATACAGTTACGTCTGTAAAGATTGTGCAGAATGTTCGTAATCGAAATTTGTGTGAAATAACACAACAGACGATATTAAATAGATTAAACCCATATACAAGTATAATAACTTTTCTTATGGCAGACGACACTTATGACACAATGACACTATAATATTTCTTATGCATCATGGTATATATTTTATTATTCACGGCTGCATACCTCAATGAAGTGAATAATAAGCATTTTACTGCAGTGATATACGGAGTCCTTAAAGCGACCTTCGTTTTTTTTAAAGGTTTTAGATAAATTGTTTCATATGAAAAAGAATTTAGGTGAAAAATGAAATTTGTCCTCGATAAAATACATAAACAATAAGGAAATCCCTCGATACTTCTAAGCAACCGATCTGCTCTTTATATGTAAATTAGTAAACCGGGCGATCTATTATTTTTAAAGTCGAGCGTTACTGCGCGCTATAAATAGTTCTAGGGGCGCTGTATTGAAGAAAGCTTATGCATTTTTCCTAGGTAATCTTACTGTAATACTTAGTTAAAAACAGCACACAAAAGTGTCTAACAAAAAATAAAAGCTGAAGGCCGCTTTAATGGCTAAATATATAAACAGAAAGGTAAGTATGGTCGCGATTAGTACTGTGGTACCAATAGTCTTCCGTAGTTTCCGGTTATTATAAGTTCAATGGTACTCGATTTCCAAACTAATCATTACAAAATCGTGACGCTATTACAAAGGAATAATGACCGTGACATGCAGAACTTTTCAAATTCATATTACAAATATGATAAGACGAAATACGACAGAAGTTTTCATTTAAATAAATATCGTTCCTTCTCACAGATTGTTTGATTTACAAGATTGTCTGTATAATTACACTGTACTGACTTAAACAATATAAAAAAAGTTATAACCTACTTTTTGTACAAGTACGAAGTCCAAAAAAGGGACATAATACTTATTTTTTATAGTCAAATGCATTTTATTTTTTATTTAAAAACTAATTAATATTACGTTATATCATGATTTTGTTTAAACTACCGGTATATAAATTCTTGTAATATACGCAAAAATATATACATGTATTTACAAAGTCACTTAATTAAGGGCCCCGTCTTTGAATAGCTAAATTATGATATATTTTTAGATTAAAAACAGAAACTTTACACGTCACAAAACTGATTATTTTTAATAATGACACATTGACATACATACGATTTGTATAATTCAATATTTGATTAGCTATCACACATTTTTCTTATATCATGATAGCTATTTGGTTTACATATGGCAGTTAATTATGGAAATTTCGTTGTTGTGTCGTTATATTATCGTGGCTTCTTAAAAAATGACAAGATCGTTGCGTGTCTTAGTATGGGTAAGAGTTTGTATTAAGACGACCGTAGGGAGTCTTATCGAACTCTTACCCATATAACTGCAAATCGGCTCTTACAACTCGATATCAGATAAAAATATAGAGTGTCACCTCTTTAATTAAGCATAACATTATTTTTCCCCAGCAGTCACGTACAAACAAGGATGGGGTCCAATTACTTAATCTGGCATGTAAAACAATGAGTTTTCAACAATATCTAGGATTGTTAATGCAATTCATTCCTGTCATATGAAACAAAATAATGTTTTGCTTACTTTTTCTAGAAAATATAAAACAGTCAGCAATTAATAATTGACATTTTTCATAGAGTTTAAAGGATATCAAAATGTTACTGTGTTCACATTTGTCTCTGCGAGCTGAGCTCCACGTGCATTATCTATGTAATAAATTTGAATGTATCCTCACATTGCTACAGTGTCATCAGCCTTTTTAGAAACACCTGACCTGGCTAATTAAAATATGCCAATCACAATTTTCAATATCAGCACTGGTTTCTTCATGAAATAGCGGCTACACTAATTACTGCCGAGTAAGAGCCGATTTGCAGTTATTATATTTTACAACGAACTAAACCAGTCATAAAATATAATTACTTAAATGAGATATGAACATATTTCTTAACACCAACGAAGTACAGTTTTTATTAAAGATTATTCTTCGTGAGCTATGGTGTTAGTCGAAACTCAAAATCAAATATTTCGTTCAGCAAAAATGATTTCCATCGATATCTTACTCATTACTTGCGTATGTAAAAAGTTTATTTAAACACAATTTAAAATAAACATCTCGTTAAACCATTTTCGACTGAAGACCTATATAATATTATGTATTTGCATGAGTTATTGAAAATTTTGAAATATTTAATCATCGCTTTTATCTGTATTAAATTATGAAAACTTATAACTTACAATTTCAGTGTCTATCTATCTTGTCCTTCACACCTTACGTATAATAAGAACACCGAGAGAGTGAGCACATGATTTTATAAGGTTATCACTATAACCATTATCATTTAACCTAATCCGTCATTTTAATAAAGCACATTTTTCATAATGACACGAATCAAGTTACTTTTTCTTAATTCGAGCTCGTTGGTGTAGAACTAAAACCAGTCAGGGATAGAAAAAAAAAGCCTTTACGTCTCTTATACATTTTATTTTCAGTCAGGTTAAGTAAAGTATGTCCTTTTGGTTAATAAAATGAATTGGTGCTCCATTCATACACATTTAATATGTAAAATACAAATATTATCATAAACAGAGACACGACATTAAACTATTTTACAAACAAGCGAGATAATTCATTCAAAAACCGACTTACTTTTAAATCATGTCATTTATCAATTGACTTACAGATACATGCAGTTCTAGTATATATATTGCGTTAAACTTCCGTTTTCTTTTTAAGAGGTAATGCCGTGGAAGGAAAATTTTTATTGCAATAGTTTTATCGGAATTCTTATTAACAAATCCCCTTATCTATGTCGCTGATAATTATTTATAAGTATTGTTTAAGTACATGTATTATGATTGTATTGTTATATGTCAATGACTATGAAAATAAATATCCAATCACAAACGTTTTATTAAGTGTACATTGAGGATACAAAAAATATCTTAGAAAAAATAAGTCTGTTAATTGTTTGTATAAGTTTAAAAGAAAAAAAAATCCGAACCGTTCCTCTGTGGAGCACTAATAAACAATTACATTTCTAATTGGAGCGGTTGCTTAATTGTTACAGTGTCCTTATATCTACTTAGTGGTCATGTGTTTGAAACATACAGTGGTTAATCACATCTTTTCCTTGTATGACACACGTACTGGTTTGTTCTAGAAAAACTTTTATCACAAACGAGGTTACATAAATGTGTTTAAAGTTGCATGCCTCCTAATGAGCCAAAACATTCCAAGAAAATCAACCTTGAGAAAAATGTACTCAGATATTCAAACTTCAAGAATTACAAGTTATATGTAATAAATGACTGACTTTGTTGTGTTTATCACCATAGGTCTACTGCGTGACTAACGAAGTATGGGTTGTTTTACATTTTTGGATATGCTGACCTAATTTTGGTAATGTTCGTAGATTTCAAGTGCTGATTGCAATGCGTAAATCACTTTATTATATACTTTTAAATGAAATATTGAAAATATTGACGAAATAAAATGCGTATTTTCATTTTCCGTATTTTCACTGTAAAAATTTATTTTTCACTGCAGTGAAACATATTTTCCGTATTTTCACTGGTGTCTTGCCGGACTACTTTCTTTTAAATTCTGCCAGTACTCAAAATTTAAGGGAAAGTCTTGCAAATTTTAATGTCCTGAATATAATAAACAGAAAATTCAAGTTTTTTCTATAAATACATGATTTATTTTCATCTTGTGGCATGAAAATTACCATATTTCACTCGTGGCTACCGCCACTTATGAAATATTTATTTTCATACCACTCGATGAAAATAAATCATGTATTTATAGAAAAAACTTAAATATCCTCTATTTCTTTATCACTTGACAATATTTTACTTTTTAATACATTTTATTTTTTTGTCATGACAATTAGCAGAAATTTGGAGGCATGCTTCTTTAAACGTTTTAACCTACATGCGCTATTACATCATCTCGATTGGACTGCCTTGTTTATCTATTTCAATCAATTTACTTTACTATTTAAAATATTTGCAGTTTTATTTATTGTGGTAATCTGCAACGTAATCTAAATTTAAAGTGTATTTTGACATGAAGAAATGCGCAACTCTCACAAAATACTGTCATTTAGGTTTTTGTTTGCCATCATCATGTTATCCTAATCTAGCTTTTCTTCAAATAAATGCATCTTGATTATTCATTTATTATTTGTGAAGATATGAGTCGCTACATTTGATAATATTATCCTATTAGCTTATGGCAGATCGGTGGATTTACTCAGGTACTTTCACGTCCTAAAAATAACACACGGAAGGATACGGCATCCCTTTGGTACTCTTTGAATACCGGGTGAATACCTTGCATGTTGTGCAGTGTGAATTAGTGCCGGTTGTACACTGTGGATGCGCGCAGGTTGTACTGTAAGTATATGCGCCGGTTGTACAGCGTCAATGTGTGCAAAGTGTGATAAAGTGTGCGGTTATTAATGCGTACTGGTTGTAAAGTGTGATGCATTATCGGTTGTACTGGTTATAAACTGTGCATCCGTGCTGCAGCATGAATAAACTTCCGGTTGCAAAGCGAAAATGCTTACAGGTTGTATAGAACGTATTGAAGCCTGTTGAACAAATTGAAAGATAACTTCTAAGCAATTCTTGAACTGTTAGTCGCAGAATAAAAAAAAAAGATGTACAATGAATAATGTTAATGTATTTGGAGAAAATATATGAACCCGTGTTATTCATTTAGAGATTGGTCAAGTATATATTATAGAATGATAAATTACATGCTGAAGAATGCAATGTTGAAACGGCATTCTATAATGTTAATAAACTGTCGATCAACAACATTAATTTAAATAATTTGTTACTACCGAGCGTTGTTCGGCGTAACGTTATTTTGTCCGACGCAACATTAATTATTTTCTATTCATTACTGGTTTTCTAGCAGCCCCTTGCAGTTTTCCGGCCCTTTATCATTCTCGTCAAGTGCAGCATATTGTAACTTCATAAAATCAAAGAGACGTTTGTTTTCTAGGCAACACAGCAGTTAAAATAGTACAACTCAGCGATGTTCGACGTAACGTTATTTTCTATTATTACCTGATACCTTATATAAATGTAATTTGGTATTTTTATCTGTTTTCTGAAATTCTAAAAGACGTCAACGTTCGCGAAACTGTTGACCGGTTAATAGTTTTGACTGTTTCCCTCGCGTGCTCTGACGTCATTGACGTCATAGAGATTCCACCTGAAGCGTCCATCGATCTTGATCATAAACCAGACGTGACGTGACATACATGTAGTTAAAATATTAAGTTTAATTATTAACATATGTGAAAAACTATTTTCTTGTTCCTTTTTTCTTCTGCAAGTACTGTTAAAACACTAATTGATCAGGTAATAAAACAGTTATTTCATATATGATTTGGGAACAGTCAAACAGTTGTCCCTCGGTGTCGGGGATAATGTTTTGAACTGTTTCCCTCGGGCTACGGCCTTGGGCAACAGTTCAAAACACTACCCCTCCATCTCGGGCCAACAGTTTGACTGTTCCCAAATTACATATGAAATAACTGTATACATTTTTTCAAATTGCTCTACGTGTCGTCTGCATGTAATGTACATGTATTTAATCAGGCGGAACCTCCTACCTCCCACAAGCTTGCTGGATAGCGTTCTTACGTGTCAAAAAATTATTTTATCAGTTGAATTCCTATCAGCATGATAAAATTCAAATATTGTTTCACTATCGAATTCATTATGTTTTATCGTTGAAATATTTGCCTGCTGGCAGCAACAATTTTTACCCAAGCGTCCAGTGCAGATCAAGATCAGCTAGTCTGATGTTCTCTATTCAGTCAGTATATATTTTATAATTTCTCTAAATATAATGAGTAGATTAGTCCAAATAGAAAGATGTATAATAAATATATATAATTATTGAACTGAGAGTTAACAGACAGTAAAAAACAAATGAATTGTCTCCGACAAATAACGCTGAAAGTAACGAACTTTAAACATAGAAAAATTATCAAGATCACATAACATTGTTTAAATTTGCATTTTATAATTTGTTCCTTACAATAATAGTAACGTTTTGCTAATATTTATTGTTTTATTATGACAATGCAAGTCAAAGATATCACGATGCCTACCACTGGAGTCATATGCCAGGGTTCCAAAATGTAGGGTGCCTAATTTTCAAGCCAGTGAAAACATGCACTTACGAAAAAAATAATCCATATTGCACACTTTATAATTCTCTGAAGAGAGAAAAACAGAGACAAGATAAACATAACTACTATATCATCTATAAAGATATTATAAAAGTAATTACCTGAAAGTTCCTTTCCAGAACCACCGAGCACGCGCGCTGTCTATCCCAGAATACCTTGTGCATCTTCTCACAAGATGCATATTCTAAATTCGTAAATTTTACAGGTGTTTTACAAAACTGCACATTTGATACTACACACAGTTCATTTAATAGATTCCTAAAAAACTAAGTGATATATATCACTGATAAAGAGTATTATTTTGTATTGAACGAAATTAGCCCAAAGATATAAATGCCGCGACAAGCAATAAATTTGATCGTTTTACCCTACGTGATGTGTACTTATTAATTCTTCACTGATCGGCAATGAATAATAAGGTAGTGATGGGAAAATGAAATGAATTCATTGAATAAAAAACCCACAACATATATACGTCTTTATCCGAGCTACGGCCGAATAAACGACGTACTGGACCAAGACTTGCTTATTGTAAAAAGGCCACACAAACTGAAAAGTTTAAGTTATGCTGAATGACACAGACGAAATTTGAAAAAAAGTAAAACAACAAATAAATCAATGCACGAAATATACGTGCAATTTAAGATCGTCGTAAGTATTCCAGAGCAAAAGTTACATTTTTTATCAAATTATTAAATCAATGCAATTTAACATTAATAGGTGAAAGATAACGCGTACAGTTCGAACGATACTCGAGGAGTGCTCATGCCCAAGATTTATAGTCATATTTATTTATATTCAGGAATCCATTACACTTAAATTAGTTTATTGCCGACATTCAGTAGGGTAAGAGAAAAATAATCATATGATTAACATTTTTTGTATTTTCAAGAAATTATCGGGTTAGACAGATGATTCTCAAACATTTGAAAAATGTAAAAACAGAGTACTATTAACTACCGAAAAAAAAATAGATCTGAGTTTTACAACATTATAGCATTTAAGATTTGTGTCATTTAAAACACGTGACTTACTATGTTATAGCATTTAAGATCTGTGTCTAACTACGTAATAGCATTTAAGATATGTGGCTTACAACGTTTTAGCATTTTTGATATGTGTCTTACAACGTTATAGCATTTGTGATATGTGTCTTACAACGTTATAGCATTTAAGATATTTGTCTTACAACGTTATAGCATTTAAGATATGTGTCTTACAACGTTATATCATTTAAGATATGTGTCTTACAATGTAATAGCATTTTAGACCTGTGTCTTATAACGTTGTAGCATTTGTGATATGTGTTTTACAACGTTATAGTATTTAAGACCAGTGCCTTACAATGTAATATAACATTTAAGATATGTGTCTTTCAACGTTTTACCATTTAACATATGTGTTTTACAACGTTCTAGTATTTAAGATATGTGTTTAACAACGTTATAGTTTTAAGACCTGTGTCTTACAACGTTATAGCATTTAAGATATGTGTCTAACAACGTTATATCATTTAAGATCTGTGTCTTACAACGTTATACCATTTAAGACCTGTGTTTTACTACGTTATAGCTTCTAAGATATGTGTCTTTCAACGTTATAGCATTTAAGATATGTGTCTTACAACGTTATAGTATTTAAGATCTGTGTCTTACAACGAAATAGTATAAAAGATATGTGCCTTACAACGTTATAGCATTTAAGATATGTGTCTTACAACGTTATAGCATTTAAGATCTGTGTCTTACAACGTTATAGCATTTAAGATATGTGTCTTACAACGTTATATTATTTAAGATCTGTGTCTTACAACGTAATAGTATTTGTGATACGTGTCTTACAACGTGATAGCATTAAAAACCTGTGTCTTACAACGTTATAGCAATTCAGTTCTTTGTTTAACAATGTTATAGCATTTGTGATCGATATACATGTAGATGCTAGAAGAAGAAAAAACAACAAAAAGAAAACCCTTTTTCATATTTGTAGCACAGACGCTTTGGCGTCACATTTATTAAACGTATCACGTACCAAAATTCTTCAATGCAAATCAATTAACATTTATCTGAACTAATTTCAGGACGCGTGGGAGGTGTTCAGGAGCTCCGCACCTATACGGGACAGTATACTCGCGTTTACGGTATATGATTTTATTTCATGCTAGTCAAAATAACTCATCTCACACAACACTCCCTATTTAAATCAACTTTTTACTACTGCTAAATTTGTTAAAAAGGATTGGCCTCTTACTTTTCGGGAATATTAAAATATCTTATGAATTCATTACAGGCACCCAGTCCCTACTATTCTTAAAATGAATTATCCCGTTTCGTTTTGAATTACAGTCGAGGATTTCAACATCAAATTTAGAAAAAGGAAGCCAACATTATAAACATTGGTCAAACAACAAAGTACAGTACTATGCATGCTGGTCTGGCTCTATTTTGTATCAATATGTTTGTAAATAAGCAGACGACAGATGATCATTGTCAAACAACATGGATGTGCAGACTTGTCTATTATCTCCCCTTGCATCTTGCGAGTTGATCAAGTATAGCACGTGCGTTTTAGGTTCCCAGCAGATCATTTCATGCATGTGTATTTTCACAAACGAATATTCGGAAAAGTTTTGTCATAACATCAATGATATTCCAGAACATTTTGTAGATTTTTTTTGTCTCTTAAATGTTTGTTTTCAGACTGAACATCTTAAAAAATATAATCTCATGCAATCTATTCTTAAGCAATTTCCCTCTTATCTGGCAGATCATTTAGTTAACATAATCACTAAAAGGGAGATAACTCGTGAAAAACACCCAATTTTTTGCGAAAATTATTACCTCCCTTGATCTTGCCATGCTTCTAGTTTCCCATCAACCCACAATCCTTTGCGCGAGATTCATTCCGCCATCTCTTAAGCTCTTTACGGTTGGTAACTTTTTATTTTTATATTAAAGAAGCTCCACTGAGAACAAAATATATTATAAATCTGAAATTTCAAATTCTTACATAGATCGACTCTGACACTTAAAACAGAAAAATAATATAAACAAGGTAAAATATTCAGCTGAAAATGTGCACACAAGCTATTGGACAAGACCTTAATCCATTGGTACCCAAACCTTGGAAAGATATTTTCTTTTCCGCCATGTCAAAAAACCTCAGTGGTGTCCCTTTAAAGAAAGGTTTATTAGCAGCACAACTACCGTATGAGCTTTTGCATTCAACGAGTTTCAAAAAGGAAATTTCCTGAGAAATTTCAAAAAAATCATGCAACTTTTTCGACACCATCCCCTATAAAAAGGGATGCCAGAGGGGGCATTTGTCCCCTACTACTTGAAAGGAGGCAGCAGACCCACTCATCGACAAGAAGATTTTTGGACCATTTGAGAGGCTAAATTGGCCTCAGGACTCGATCATAAGGTAACGTGTAAAGCCTTTGACTCTTTCTCAATCCATTAAGAAGTTGCAGAACTTTGAAATCAGTATTGATGTAAAAAATCAACGCAAAATAGTGATTTCTGACAATTTCCCCTCGTTGCAGAAATTTTATGATGTAGCATTTTTGCCCAGTTGGATGAATATTGAGGCATCTTTTACAGATTCATCGCAATTTTAACTTGTAACAGGAAGCTTTTTCAAAATGCGCATGCAGAAATGGGTTAAAAAGATTTAAAATTGAGTAACATTCAAAGATTCCTTTATAGTTTATTAACATTCAGTTTAGATAATCACAGACTGTCAAAATCCCCTGCACTCAAAGTTCAATAATCTGAAAGTATAAAGCTGTAAATATTTTGAGTTATAGCCAGGAAATATTTTGAGTTATAGCCATTTAAACCTAATATAGTAACAAAGGGCAATTTGCAACTTTTTGGCGGGGGATTATAATCATAAAAACAAAACAAAAAACAATATAGTCAATATTATCAGTAAATGCATCTGTTTTTGATTTAAAAAAGTCATACCATAATTGAAATCATTATCATTTATCACTGACTAAACCACCTGATGGTTTCCCGGCAACCCTCCACTTGTAGGCGGTTGACTTTGAATACCCTCAGGAGCATTTCTTGTTTGATGCCCATAAAGATTTTGACTGGTCGGTTGATATTGAGGCGGAGGGGGCGGGTATACTGGTGGAGGAGCCCCGCCTGCTGCATGTGGCTGAATCGCGCCTTGTTGTTGACCGAATGGCACGTGGTATACTGCTGTTGTCGCTTGGTAATAGAAAGAATATGTATGAAGTTCTATTATGGTTGAAAGTAAATTATACTTAAAAGCAACTTCAATTAATTATTCTTGTTTGATTTAACAAGAAGTGTGATTTCTCTCTTCAAATTTTGTCAATGTTTCTTCGAGAATTATTGGAAATCGAGACAAAACGATGTTAAAATAATTATTTTTTTTAAGTTTATCACTAACAAGAATGTTCTCTTACTGACTACAGGTTGTCCCGTGTAGCTTGGCTGGATTACTCGACCGGATTGTCCTTTTTGTTTCACACAAATGCAAATCACCGCTATGATAACGCCTATGAGAAAGAGGACACCGAGGGTGACGCCAATAGCCACGCCCACTACATATCCCGAGGTGTCTTCACAACAGTATTCCCGCGGCCAACTACCACAGCAGTCATCACAATATTCATATCCGTCGTCGGTGTGATAGCAGTATTCTTTACCGCTCGTGTATGCTGAAATGCAGATAACAAGAGCACTGCTTGTGGTGTTAACGCTCACCTGTATATAACAAATTTTCATTAATATTCCAACTTAAAATTGGACATAACTCCTTAACATATTGCTTTCAGGATAATGTCCATTGTCTTACAACTGTATCTTGCCGTACGAAATAAGTATTCCAAAGTCTCTTATTAATATTTTTCATAGTGTTGAAATCGTTCTATTTCATATGTAATTCTTACACACAAAAATCAAGCTAAAAAGGGACATAACTTAAATCTGTCAGAGTTATGCCCCTTGTTTTGCAACTGCGTCTTATCATGAGTTTTAACTTAAGTTTTGTGTTGATTCTTCTAAAAATTGTTTGAGAGCAGTCTGATCAGGATCCATGCTGTTCGCTATCAGTTTCTCCACTTGTATAGAGTTGGTAAGCGAACAGCATGGATACGCAGGCTGGTCTGGATCCATGCTGGTCGCAAACGCATTATGTTGGTTTTGTCATGACACGGCTCATTTTTGTTTTGGATCATCTTACACAATTAAATTATTATTCTGGAAAAAAAACGACTATTATTAAAGGCGTTTTTTCTTAAATTTTGAATCAGACCAACATCAAATGATACACCGGTTTCGGAAAAATATTTCCATTTCTTACTGAAATCATAACACAATGTTTGGTAGACTTAATTTTGTGAAATTTTCAACTGTTCTTTAATATAGTTAAATATCTTTTAAATGTGATTTTCAGATAAGATCATACAAATAAATCAGACAAACTTACCTATAAAATTAAATCCTAAAATAATCAAATAAGTAAACATTGTATCCATCATGGGTCACCTTCTTGTGTTCAAATCTTTTTTTTAAAGATAATTTATATGAAAGAGGTAGGGGGTGTAGGAAATACTGTTCTGTAAGCACAATTCGACACAGTTTTACCGCATTCCAATGGAAAGATAACATTGTTAAAGCATAAATTTATGTGTGCATATAAAACTTTGCCAAATTACGTAGTTTATAGGATTTAGCCGATAAGACTACAAAAGACACAATATAGCATTTGGCAATCAGTAAAGTTAGAGATTTAGAATTTCTATGGAACTCAAAATACCATGCACGTTGTTGACAGTATGCTATTTTAAAAATTATAACAATACAAATTGTTTTACTTCTATCGCTCATGTATGAGTGAACTACTAGAAGTACTACTTATCTAACTTGCCTCCTTAATGTACCGATACTAAAATTACACCTTTTCATATGGATATACATGTATACGTCTGGCACGACCAGGTTAAGAATATTTCATAAAAATACACAATATGGCCAAATTAGAACACATAATCGTTTTTCTGACGTTCATGGTGTATTATTTCTTCATCATGAAGATTTTCTTTGACGTACATACATGTACATCGCTAGTCTGGTTTCCTGCCTATTTTTCTGCGATTTAAGAGTATAACCAATCGGAACATCTCGGCTTTTAACATTAATCCTTATCCGAGAACGACGAAAAGGGCTGATTGGGTAAATAACCTAGTAACAGGGGCAGGTAATCGGTGATCATTTCTATATGACGTACATAGTTGTTCATTTCTATATGACGTACATCGGTAATCAGTTTTATGTGACGTACATCGGTGATCATTTCTATATGACGTACATCTGTGATCATTTCTATATGACGTTCATTGGTGATCATTTCTATATGACGTACATAAGTGTTCATTTTTATAATATGAAAAAGGCAAAGCCTCAAAGCGAGCTCGATGTACTCTGGGACATAAGTTATGTCCCAGATGTACTTTTAACGTGAAATAGTATGAAATAATCGCTCATTTTTATTTCAAATGCAGTGACGAGTGCGTGTGACGTAACACGTACTGTGTGTTAAATATGGCTCCTTCCCTGTCGTTAAATGACAACGAGTTTTGAAAACGTTGATAAAACTTTGTTTATTTTATTTCACTCTATAATTTTTTCAAGCGAAATAAAGATTATTAAAATTGAATAAGATCTAAATGTAAAACTTAAAACGTTTGCGACATTAAAATAGCGTACTTGATTTGTTTGTTTTGCACGTGCTGTTTGGCGCTACATTGTGACGTCACGTAAACAATACTTAAACGTCTGTACAGCGTTAACGACTGAATAAAAGATATTGGTGTTCGGATTCATTTTCTTAGTTATACTATTTTCTTTCATTCTAGATAGTTTTCACAACAAAATTCGACAAAAAATTGTTTATAATTATCAGATTTTTCAAACAAAATGGCGCCTTCAATTTTCATTTTTTATACTCGGCTTCCGTTATTCTGGTTCTCTGTCCAATTATGGTTCCCATAGACGTGCGCGGGTGACCAGTCTACACATCCGTTTTCAGTCAGAATTCCTCAGTTTTTATCGTTATCTTTATATTCGAAAGGTTGCGATGTGTCCAATTCGGTACTTTGGACGAAAGTTTTCAAAACCATCACTTAGCAGGTACTCGCGTTACCGTAAAGCTCGCTTTGCGAGCAGGCCCTTCGGGCCAGCTCGTCGAGCTCGCTATGACGTACATCGGTGATTAATTCTATAATATGACGTACATCGGTGTTCATTTCTATATGACGTACATCGGTGATCATTTCTATATGAAGTGCATCGGTAATGTACTTATTTCTTTAAGACGTATATCGGTGTTTTTTCTATATGACACCTTGTTACATTGACTGGCCGTTTGAAACAAAAATATTATCCGGGCGTATCACTTTTAAATATGGTTTGTGAATAGATCTTATGGCTTATTTGAAACATTTTCGTGTTCACTTACTCCAGCTAGTTTAGTTCGCTGAATTCATCAGCGCAATCTGATCAGGATCCATGCTGTTCACTTACCAACTCTATTGCAAGTAGAGATACTGATAGCGAACAACATGGATCCCGATCAGACTGCGCGGATGCGCAGGCTGGTCTGGATCCATGCTGCTCGCAAACGCACTATGTTGGTTTTGTCGTGACGCGGCTCATATGTTCTGTTAAATGCTCAATTCCAAACATAAAACTTTTTCAAGTTTTGTTTCAATAGATTGAATACATAAATAAATAAGTTAATAATTATCTAAAGTAAAAAGAAAGAAAGAAAGAAAGAAAGTAAGAAAGAAAGAAAGAAAGAAAGAAAGAGAAAGAAAGAAAGAAAGAAAGAAAGGAAGAATAAAGAAAGAAAGAAAGAAAAAAGAAAGAAAGAAAGAAATGCAAACAAACTAAATAAAACAGATTTTATTTGATCGTAATTCTAAATACAAATGTACATTCATATTATATTTCACAATACAATAACACTAGATCGCCTTGTGATAATTTCATTATTCAATTTTCTTTATTAATCTTGCAAACTCATTTGACGTAAAAATAAATGCGGCACATTTGTGTCATGTTTGAGGAGTAAATCAGTAGAATAATGTATTGATTATTGGCAAATTGATACTTTTGAAACAGTTTAAGATAACTTACATGATAATTACAACCCGTTCACAGTACTGCTTCAATACCTACTTTGTATGCGTTAATGTCGTCTGTTATATGCACAAAAGGTCGCAAAAATGATTATATCTTTTGTTCTTTTAAAAATATCATGTATTATATTTATTATTAGATTAAGCATTATTTAGCCAATATATACCTGATTTAATTAAAGGATCAAAATCAAGCACTTTTCTCTTCCCAAAAGGGATATGAGAGATACATAAATAATGTTACAAGAAAAGAAAAGAAGAAAAAAATTGACCCTTTTGGGGTTTGAACCCACTGCCCTAAGTTTCAATGTTCTAGCCTATTTGAATACTCTTCAAAGTGGAGGTAATGCACTAGGATGGTAATAGAAAGAACATCGAAACACGATATTATCTTTGTACGAGGGGGTCCCCCAAGTATTAATCAGATTGCCGAGTGTTTTGACATTTATGTATTGAATTACCATATACTTATTCCAGATGTATTGCATTAAATATGTTTTGTATCATTTCTGTTGAAAATGTGTTAGAGTTAAATCGTATACATATACATGCACAGTGCGTTTACTGGAGTGCAGGTATTAGTTACCCGCACTCCAGAGCATGCCCATTGACTGGGGTTTACTAATTGTGACGGCAGAGAAAGGGAAGTCAATAGAAATATCATATTCAGATGCTCGTTCATTGGTTACTTTTTTCTGGTGTTTCATATTGTGACAACAGGGGACGCGTTTTTATGTTTGACTATGACACAAAAGAGAAAGAACATCAAACATAAAGGATATCATTGAGGAGATGCCAGATTTACAGTTCGTGATATTGCACGAAAGGTAGGCATATCACTTTCAACGGCATTTATATTAAAGAAACATTTGAAGGTCAGAAAGATTTCTACTAGATGGGTGCCACATCTGTTGACCGATGAGCAAAAGAGGCAACAGGTTAAGGTGGCCAAAAGGCTGCTTTAAATGTTTCCAAAATATGACAAAAAACAGTTTGCCAATGTCGCCACAGGTGATGAAACTTAGGTCCATTATTTTGAGCCCGTCAGAAAAGTTAGCAACAAAATCTGGGCCACTAAATACAACAAACGCCAAATAATTGCCAAACGGTCTTTGAGTGCAAAGAAGGTTTTGTATGCAATTTTCTTCTCTGGTGAAGGAGTCGCAATAAAAGTGCCGGTGAAAAAGGACAAAAGTGTCACTTGGAAATACTTCAAAGACGTAGTACTTAAGAAACTGAAAAAGTATTATAAGAAACGACATTGATCCAAGTTTTTTCAGTATATCTCTATTTCTTATTTGTGATATTTTGTTTTTAAAAAATCCTTGCAGCTTTTATTTGTATTTTACCTATTTTAATTAAAGACCTTAGAATTCCTTTGCTCCAAGCAGTGCAGCAGTAATCAATGACATTATATATAGTGCAGCAGTAATTAATGACATTATATATAGTGCAGCAGTAATTAACGACATTATATATAGTGCAGCAGTAATTAACGACATTATATATAGTGCAGCAGTAATTAACGACATTATATATAGTGCAGCAGTAATTAACGACATTATATATAGTGCAGCAGTAATTAACGACATTATATATAGTGCAGCAGTAATTAACGACATTATATATAGTGCAGCAGTAATTAACGACATTATATATAGTGCAGCAGTAATTAACGACATTATATATAGTGCAGCAGTAATTAACGACATTATATATAGTGCAGCAGTAATTAACGACATTATATATAGTGCAGCAGTAATTAACGACATTATATATAGTGCAGCAGTAATTAACGACATTATATATAGTGCAGCAGTAATTAACGACATTATATATAGTGCAGCAGTAATTAACGACATTATATATAGTGCAGCAGTAATTAACGACATTATATATAGTGCAGCAGTAATTAACGACATTATATATAGTGCAGCAGTAATTAACGACATTATATATAGTGCAGCAGTAATTAACGACATTATATATAGTGCAGCAGTAATTAACGACATTATATATAGTGCAGCAGTAATTAACGACATTATATATAGTGCAGCAGTAATTAACGACATTATATATAGTGCAGCAGTAATTAACGACATTATATATAGTGCAGCAGTAATTAACGACATTATATATGCATTTTAAAATTAAAGTTACATTTTGTCTGTCAAATAATGAGATATACGCCTCGATAAAGCTTTTTTGAGTTAAGTTATGAACAAAATGCGTCAATTTGGTAATTCCAGCACAAGTTATTATCAAAATAAACAATTAATTATTTTGTATTTTTACCATTTGTAGTTTTTTTGCAATGCATAAAGAAACTTCATTAAAACAATTTCTTTTTTGTTTCGTTCATAATATCATGCATTTTGTTGTATTTGGATGTATATAATGCTTAAATTGCACCATCGATCTATGGCATCCAAATTTTATT